CATCCTTCCCTATAAACAAAAATTGCTTGTTTTGTCCAACCGAGGGATGAGTTGAAAATTATTTTCTGAGGTATAAAATAGAACTCTCATAAAACATACATGTGACCCTTCTGTAGGTCAACATTCACTTCAAACATCATCCCGAGCCGGGAGATCTTTGACTGGCTGACAAAAGTTTCTGGCTCCTCTTGACCCCTCATCAGACGGACACAATGCGGCTCATTCATCGTCTGTACGATACGCCTGCTCGGAGAGGAGAGGTGTGGGGGATGGGGCTGTCAGTTGAATTAAAATAGCACGTAATAATAATAATAATATAAATAATGACATTGATAAAAGGGCTAATCTACACAAAACAAAACAGCGTGTTCCTCCCTGATTGTGTGGGTTGTTGCGGTATTCAATTAGGCCATTTTCACTGGCATATTAATCATCTTTTCAACAAACAAGCCGGCGTTAATTAAAGCGGAGCGCGAGGATAAAGACGTGTTGCTGGATCATCACTCCGTTTATCAGCCACGCACACACACACCCCGCCGTTTAGCAAATCCCGCGCAACGCTGCGAGGGGAATTTCAATGCTCTCTCGGATGTGGATTTTGCCAGTTTCAAATACAGAGACTGTCGGTGTGAAGCCCTCTGCCCTTCACCGCTGGGAGATGAATTTATTCGTCAGTTTTATTTCATCTAAAAAAAAAAAGAGCCTGGAGAGTAAATTGCTTTAGCCCGAAACACGCGCAAGAGGAAGTCGAAACTCTTTGCTTCCCTTGTAAGGGCCTCGACGGGGAAGACACCTTTCAATGGGGTTTAATATCATACATGAATGGATGTTTTGCTGACATCTGACTCATATTAATGTAGATAAAATCACATGTTGTGCCTTACTTTTACCATAATTTCCATCCTAATATCCATATTTATTGTTAAATGTACAGTTACATCGACATTTATCCATTTACTTTTATCTCTAATGTTATGAATTACTGTACACATGGCTGATCACAAATAAGCCATATACAAAATGATGGAGATTAAATGTACACATATTTTACACTGTACACTGTAAAAAAAAAATATTTTCAAGATTTGTTATCACAACATATTTTCTTTTGTCAAATCAACTTTATAATAATTTATTTAGTTGAGATAACTTATCATTTTGAGTTTCTGATGATTAAATTATCCTTCATTGTATTAACTCACTTTTTCCAGTTCAATGAACTTAAAATTTTAAGGCAACCAGGTTACTTACTTTTTTAAGTTAAACCATCAATATTTTTTTACAGTGATATATATATATATATATATATATATATATATATTATTAATTGCATCCAAAATAAAAGTTTGTGTTTATATAATATATGTGGGTGCACTGTGTATATACATGCTTGTATATATATTTAAGAAATATTTTCATGTATATACTGTTTATAGATTTATATATAATTTATATTATATATAAATATTTTATATATAAATAATATTTTTTCTTAAATATACATGCATATGTGTCTATTTATATACACATATATATATATATATATATATATATATATATACAAAATAATTATACAAAGTGCACCCACATATACTGTATTATGTAAACACAAACTTTTATTTTGGATGCGATTAATCATGATTAATCGTTTGACAGCCCTAATATATATATATATATATATATATATATATATAACTTATATATTAATTATGTTTTAGACTTATTGGGCCATATTCATGAAACACAATTTCTGAGTAAATTGGTAACACTTTACAATAAGGTTCATTAGTTAACATTAGTTAATGTATTAACCAATAGCAATCCATTTTGTTACTGTATTAGTTAATCTTTGTTAACATTAGTTAACAAAAATACAGCTGTTCATTTCATGTTAGTTCAATGCATTAACCAATGATAACACGATTTGAATAAATTATTAGTAAGTGTTGAAATTAACATTAACAAAGATGAATTAATCTTGTATATGGACAGTTCATTATTCGTTCATAATGCAAATTGTTAGCAGTAAATCATTTGTAAAACCATTATTTGGTATATTGTCTCATTCAGTTCATCGTGACAATTTACACACCAAAAAATGTACACAAAAATCGGTGTTTCATAAATAAGACCCATTGTGTTTAATCCGTCATTTTCTTAAATAAACAGAGTATAACGTGTGTTTTGTATGTCGGTCTGTTCACGTAGGGCACTTTGCCTCCGTCAATCTCAGCCTGCGAAGGACTACATCACACAATCATGCCACACTCCCACAATCCTTTTCTTCTCTGACTGCTTGACTCGAAGCACTCTCAAACAGCCGGCTACACCACACTGAGATCTTTCTCATTCTCTCTCGCCCTTTTCCAGTCTCTCTCTCCAGGAACTCGTGGCAGAGAGAGAGAGAGAGAGAGAGGAAAGAAGTCAAAAACCCGCGACAATGTGCCAGAGAAATATCAGAGTGGCTTTTTTTTTCACTCGTCACCCAAGCCAAAGATGGGCCGTCTCCAAATCCTGCTGCCCTATCAGACAAATTAAAGTAAATCAAGCATGAAATGAAGCAGGAGAGCCCGGAGATAAGGTCCCTTTAAGTCCCTCACAGATTAGACCACTGAGAGAGAGAGAGAGAGAGATGGAAGAGAAGGACAGTAAGGAGAGAGGTGTAGAAAAGGGCGGTTTGCTGGTTTCTCTGTGGCAGACAGCTTTTGATTAGTTCACTTTGGCGCTGATGTAGAAGAACAGTCTGCATATATTCAAGTTTTTTTTTTTTTTTGATGACTTTTGTTTATTTTAGTACTCCAATGTTCCCGAAGTGCTTTCAACTGTGACTACATTTTTGAGATGAAAATCTTCATCTTCAATCCTCATGTTCATTGTGACTTTCCTAATGTTCAATTGATGTGGAACGGTACAAAAAAAATGTTTTGAAAGAAAAATATTTTCCACAATTTGATAGAGTAGGCTTTTCTCATCCTTTGGATTACTTTTTAAATCGGTTCTTAGTTTTAAAGTTAACATGAAATAAAAATGGATGTTTTTTTTTTTTTTAAATAGTCTCTGAATGATCAGTGAACATTATTGCTGAGATAAAAATATATATATTGTAATCTTTTTGACAACTTTCCTTTTTGGTTTATGTCAAAAATCCTTTATACTTCATCTGACTTGAAGTATTTTGAAAATAGTTGGTATAGCCAATAAGTTTTGGTTCCCACTGACTTCCATGTTGTGTGTGTGTGTGTGTGTGTGTTTGTACAATAGATTTCAATGAGGAGGACAGAGAAATTTAGCTACAAAATATATGCTTTAACATATACCTCTTTAACCTTCACAAATCTACTTAGTTCTGTAATATAATAATTATTAATATAATGTGGTTTCATGTTAACTTGAAATTTACAGTCTCAGATTTATAATTTGCTCACTAAACATATGACTTTCTTTTTTTTCATAAAAAATGACTTTAAAAGCAGACTAAAATTTGGTTGTTTTGTCATTATTTGCTAAAAATCTTCCTTTTCACTGCAGCTCATTTATTATTTAATTATTTTTGTTCTTAATAATTTACATTATTATGCACATTGCACATATGCACATAATAATTAATTTACATTATTATACTATTTATACTATTTATTTATTGACATTTTTATTTGATCATTTAATTCAATTCATTTCATCAAAGTATTGTTTTGCACAATATATATATATATATTATATATATATATACAAACTGGTGCCCAGACTAAAAAAATGCTATATATATATATATATATATATATTGAGGGTGAGAGAGAGAGAGATTAGTTAAATTCAGTCTGTGGTTAAATACATCAATTAATCCAGAGAGGGGATGGGTGTAAAGGCTTAACCCTGATCTCCTGAAAGCACTGCCTCGAGATTCTCTTTATTTATCAATCCATCTGCCGGCATTCCACATCTCCTCCCGAAACTGGATAATTTACCACGCTTCTGCACTGTTCACATCAAAACTTTCCGCAGAAAGAGGCTTAATCCACCTTATCTGAAACCCTGTCAAAGCACTGAGCGAAAGCCTAATCAAAGAGACAGGCAGGGTCACCCAGGAGAGGGTCCAATGGACGGGTGTATGATTTCTGATTGAGCTCCTGTGTGCTCACACTGTGGCTTAGTCTGCTCGCTCGTGGAGTGCTGTGGTGTTTTGGCTAAATATCCGGGCTGGTAACTGTAAAAAACATTGAACTTTCAACATTGCGCCCTTTAGCAAGACCCCTGATGGGTTGTCCTTGTAATTGAAGCACATGATATACATTACAGCACATCTGTATTAGAATCATTTCTGACCCATCTTGTAACACTGAAGACTGACTAATGAAGCTGAAAATTCAGATTTTCCATCAACAAGTTATTTTAAATGGTGTTTTTACTGTATTTTTTCTCAAATAAAGGCTGAGACTTTGTTCTGGACAAAATATTTTTGATTTATTTAAAAAAAAAAATACTTCCCTTGATCTGAGCGGTACAAAACTTGGCTACTTTTCCTAATGTTAAGTGAGTGAAAAAAACTCCTTAATCTTGTATTTGGGTCAAAAATGGACACCTATAGAAATGAATGGGAAAAAATGTAATTTAGCATTCTAAAATAAGCCAAAATAAGACAGCAGGTGACGGCAAAGTCACTTCATCTTTAGGTTTTATCTCTAAGAACTTATTGGAATGATATTTTAATATAGCAAAAAATAATAATAATAAAACATACAAATAAGCATAATTTACATAAAAAATAAATTAAAAAATATCCCCAAAATAAAAAAACCCACCATAAATGGATAGACAAAACTTTATCAAAGACAGTGATATAACATTTATAACAAATCTAAATAGGATCACACCTGAGTCCTCTGTGCCCACATTTGTCCACAATTACAGGATACAATTACATTACAATACTTGGAAGAAACGTTTTTAGTAGCAAAAGAATCAGGCTGAACTATATATATTATTATTTTTGTCTTCTACAGGTCAGCTGAAAATGGTTGGTGAAGGAGGGGAGAGAAGGATTTTTTCTTGTCAGGCACTTCTACTAGGCACCACGTGGGGTCCTTTCCCTGGGAAGATTGAGGTGGCCACAGGAGGAAGTGACAAGGTGGGGGTTGTTTGTTTTGCTTATTTATAAAATGTGGACATGATAACCTGATTTCCTTGGGACAGTTCCTTCTAGTTCAGAATTCAGAGCAACGTGTATCGACAAATCAAAGCACAATTGAGTTTATATTTATACTTTATTACTTACACTGTAAAAAAATATTGATGGTTTAACTTAAAAAAGTAAGTAACCTGGGTTGCCTTAAAATTTTAAGTTGATTGAACTGGAAAAAGTGAGTTAATACGATGAAGGAGAATGATTTAATCATCAGAAACTCAAAATTATATGTTATCTGAACTAAATAAAATATTTAAGTTGATTTGACAAAAGAAAAAAACGTGATTACTACATTGTAAAAAAAAATATTGTTGGTTTAACTTAAAAAAGTAAGTAACCTGGTTGCCTTAAAATTTTAAATTGATTGAACTGGAAAAAGTGAGTTAATAAAATGAAGGAGATTAATCAAAATAATAAGTTATCTCAACTAAATAAATTATTATAAAGTTGATTTGACAAAAGAAAATATGTGATAACAAATCTTGAAAATATTTTTAACAGTAAGAAGCCTTTTTATGCTTGAAAATGAAATAAAACGCATGAAGTGTACAGTCGTCTGTTTAGACTTTTAGCAAAAGGGCTAATGTAGTGTTTAACTTAACTTTAAATTGTGCACCCATAGTTTTGATACGTATGCCGTTCTTGTGGTGTTTGTTCTCATCAATACTATAATCACGTGACATTGTGATTTGTCCACATGATTTTTACCTGGTATACAGTCTTAGTGAATTGTGGGTAATTACAGACATAGAGATCAGACGGCCAGATGGAAAAGAAAGCGAGCGAGAGAAGTTCAATTATTTAAAAGGTTTTTTGTGTCCATTTTGTATTTTGAGGCCTCGGAGATGGATGGTGGTGTTGTGTTTTGGAGTGTACCAGAGAGAGAGTGAGTGTGTGTGTCACGGGTAATCTGTGCCCGTGGCAGGTTTACCCTGTGAAGCGGACTGGTATCGCAGGCCCATTGTTGTTGCTCCTGTCAGAGCGGGGAGAGGCCGATGGAGGCCTGTGCTGGCCTGATAAGGGGAAAGAGGATTCAGCGGAGAGAGAGACAGGCAGAAAGAGAAAGAAATGACTCAAGGAGAGTGGAGTGCTTTTTCATGAAGTATTCCCACACAGTCAGATCTGCACAAACCTCTCGGCTTTAAAAAGAGACACTATACATACTGTAAGTGAGTACGCAGGTCACTCGTGGAAGGTAAAGTATGAACATTGTTTTGGGGGTGTTCTCACATGCTTTTACTGGGGTTTCGTGAGACAAGACAAGTGTCAACGTTAAATATTGTTGGATTAACTTAAAAAAGTAAGTTGATTAGTTGATTGAGCTGGAAAAAGTGAGTTAATACAATGAAGGAGATTGATTTAAGTTATCTCAACTATATTATTTAAGTTGATTTGACAAAAGAAAAAATGTTGTGATAACAAATCTTGAAAACAACCAGCAAACACAGAACGTTCCCGAATGGTCCCATGAGGTTATTTTTTGGGAACGTTCCATTTTTATAACGTAAGGAGAATGATCCGGGAACGTTCCCTTAACCTTAAGGGAAAGTTCTAGGAACGTTCTGGGAACCAAAAACTAACGTTCCTAATTTGTTTGCTGGGTATCACTCATGATTTAGGTGTGTGATCACAACAAACCTTTCTTTTTTTTTTTTTTTTTTTTTTTTTTTTTTTTTAACCAGGAAAGTCACATTGAGATATTACTATCTCTTTTTCCAGAGAGACCTGGTCAAGACGGCAGCACAAGAAGTTTCATACACAAAATCACAGTATAAAATACCACAATTTACACATCACAAACAACATGGATAAAAACGAGTTAAGAAAAACAATTGCACTTATCCTTTAAAACATTGGGCAGGAGACGTTTAAAGGAGGTCAGAGTTGGGAGTGCATCTAGAAACTTTAAAGGGTTAGTTCACCCAAAAATGAAAATTCTGTCAGTATTTACTCACCCTCGTGTTGTTCCAACCCCGTAAGACCTTCGTTCATCTTCGCAACACAAATTAAGATATTTAAGATATTAAGATCGCTCCTGCATACTAGTCCATAGGCTTCTTGAGGGAATGACTCTTGCTGTCCTTGAAAAGTCATTAAAGACATCGTTAAAATAGTCCAAGTGACTACAGTGGCTCAATATTAAGTTTATCAAATGACGAGAACACTATTTGTGCGCAAAAATAACGACTTTATTTCAATTATTGGTTTATTTCTCCCTCTGCCTTGAGTCAGGTTACTAGTTTAATAGCGTAAGCTTCTGTTATTGTACGTCACACGCATCACACACATGACCAGCGTCGGCCAATAGTGAGCCTACGTGTGACGTAGCTTTACGCAATCACACTACGTTAACTGACTACAGGCTCATGGAGAAGGAAGTGAATAGTTGAAATAAAGTCGTTATTTTTGTTTGTTTTTGCGCACAAAAAGTGTTCTCGTCGTTTGATAAAGTTAAGATTGAGCCCCTGTAGTCACTTGGACTATTTTAACGATGTCTTTAATTACTTTTCGATGCCAGCAAGTGTCATTCCCTCAAGAAGCCTTTGGAGCGATCTTAATATCTTAAATATCTTAATTTGTGTCCCAAAGATGAACGAAGGTCTTACGGGGTTGGAACAACATGAGGGTGAGTAAATACTGACAGAATTTTCATTTTTGGGTGAACTAACCCTTTAAGTCCATAAGCATTACATTTCCTCTATCCTGATCGTTTTCAATACTCACAATTCCAACTCCTGACTCCCTACAGTGGTTTTGACGACACAAGATGGTTTTTATACTGAGCTGAAACCTGCGTACGTCACGAAGTGCGGAGAATTCAACTGCAGTAGCCACCGTTCAACCTGAAGAGGGCAGCACTAAGACACTTTTACACCATATATTGAAGAAATAGAACACTTTATAAACAAATGTCAAAAAAGTTACTCGAATCAATGACTGGTATTAATAAAGATCCATTCTTACAGATCATTAACTAAAAAAAGTTGGTTAAGTGTTTAGTTACTCTTTAACTCCAACTTGCCTCAACACACCTGCCTAGAATTTGGCTAGTGAGACCTTTATTAGCTGGTTCAGGTCTGCTTAATTGGGGTTAGAGCTAAGCTTTGCTGAAAGTGCCCCCCTGGAGGAGGACTGGACACCTCTGACTTGGGTTTTTAAATGAATACATTATTAATAATATATTACAACTCTAATCTAAATTCAAATGCTAAAAAGAGACATGCAAATCTTAATTTAAAGTGAAATCATTTGCATACTGTGCCTTCAAGTCAAAAAGGTTGAGAACCACTGCCCTAGCTTCTTTGTTTTGCCTGAGCAACATCAATTTTCATAAAACCTGAAATCAGTTGATCCATTAAGCGTCATTTAAAAAAGTACATTTTACAACTGCATGCCACGATTGCCCCATCACACACTCAGAAAAAAGGTACAAAAGCTGTCTCTGGGGCTGTACCTTTTCGAAAGGTAAACTTTTGTCCATTTAAACGGGGCCTAAGATGTTAATTTCTACCAACTAACCTATTGCTTTCAATTACTTGCCTTGTGTCAGATTAAGAGGCATTTCTTGTATTTGTACATTATACTCCACTTAACTGGGACGTTTGCCACTACATTTTTAAAACAATAATATCTTACTAAATACCATTAGTAATATTGACAAACTATATATCATTTGAAAGCTTACAATCTCTAGTTTCCATATTTGGTGATATATATTACAGAGGAAGCATAATTTATCAATATGCAACAAGAATATTTTCCTACTCATAAAGCGAGTTCAGACCTTTATTTTAAAATAGCAGTGAACATGAAAAATCATGAAAAAAATGGTAGATGCCTCAGTTTGTTTTCATTCCAAAACTTCAAAAGATAACATCAATTTAGTTGTTTTGGGGGGAAAAAAAGGTCTGAAATGTTTGAAATATCAAGAAAAAAATAATAAATTCACTATTTGTGACATGGCAGCGAGCTATGACTTACATGAAGGTTCTTTGTAGGCTGTGTTTCTTAGAGGTTGAATTCATATCAGAATCTGCCAAACTTCCCATACTACTTCTGAATAGGATCTCTACTTCATAAATTGTATGAAAATTGTGAATATAATGGTTCATATCACTCAACAAACGAATGGAAATGCAGGCGCCCTTATATGGGCAGTAATGGAGTCTGATTGTGCCCTAGTGAAAAAGTTTGGTACTGCGCTTAAACAAAATCTTACTGAAAGCTCATTTTTTAAGATTCAACCTAAAATTTGAAACACAACTTGTTCCGATTTTTGGCTTTGATTTTTCTGCAGTTTTAGAGTAGCCCAGGTTTTGAAAATATATATTTTATGTAAAATATAAATAATTAATATTTTTACATTGTACAAACTTTTTTTCTGTTTCACTTTCTTAATTTATTTCACTTCGACAAAAAATCTGCCAAATGTCTTCTTTAAAAAAAGACCAATCATATGTCTATATTCCAAAGCATTCTTGAATTACAACCATTTAAGTTCGAAATGTGCATTTTTTTTTTTATATGTCTATTCAAAAAAGTGGGGGGTGACAGTTTAGAGGTTAATGGATTTTTCTTAATTCTAAACCTAACCAGTTCTGAACAACATAAACCATGTAACAGACAGATAAAAGTACTAAAGTAGCTTGACTAAAATACTTATTGCATTCCAAGTTTTCTGAAACCATACAAAATTGTGCCTGATGAAGAAAATGTTGAAATGTTGTCCTGCTCCTGAGCCCAATTAGGATGTTTTGTATTTATTTATTTTCATTTTTATTTATTTTCAGGTTTATTTAACAGGGACAATGCACACTAATGATACATGATTAAATGTCCAGTGTGCCAGAATTAGCCAGTAGGCTATTTTACATCTGCTGTCCCTGGACAGATCTTGATGTCACACCTAAAAAAACCCAAAAAAAACAATATAGCTAGAACAATAACTAATGTCAAAGGTTTCCCCTATCTAAACACAAGAAAAAACAATGAGCCAGCCAACCGCATTGGCATAGCACAGGAGGCACAAACAAGCAAACAGACAAATAAAAATAAAAATTAACAATAAAAAATAAAAAGTTGTATTTATCAACATCACAGATATCCCACAATTGTAAGCACAATTTATTTGTATTTCAACAGAAATATCAATTCAGTCATTATGAAATTCTCCGTCCATCCCTTTGAAACCCATGCCGGTTCTTTGAATTCCCAGTGTGCTGGTTTCAGGAAGCTGTGATGCTGCTGATAGAGGGGTACAATGTGTCTAAAGATCAGTGCTCAGCATTCCGGTTCTTCTGTCTCCAAGTCCATTCTGGATTCCAAACCTCCCAAAGGATGAGATCTGATCAGGTGGAACATTCAGAGGCTCTCTAACAATACGGCCATTCAGAGGGCGAGCGGGACAGGGTGTGGCTTCCTCTCACACACACACACATGGAGAGAAATCTTTGGAAGGGCTTTTGGGAATGATGAATTTAAACAAGCTCACTATATAGGACAGTCTCACCGCTGGATGGCGTATCCACAGTATGTCACTGACCGTCTGATGTACTCGTAACATGATGAAATCTGCTCTAGGCTGTCAATCAGATGATTTTAGTCTTAGAAACAGCTCATTTTTGTGTTGCAGGTTTCGCTGGTATTGAGTGGAGGTCCTCGCTGGCTGATGGACATGATGTGGGTCAGTCCAGAGGATGGGAAGAGCAACTGTGCTGTTTACAGTAAAGGTGAGAATGTGTTCTTTGGGCTTATAAATGTATTTGTAATTCTTTCAGGCTTCTGTGAACGGTTAAAGACCCCATGAAATGGCAGGACAACACAACTGACAACAAGTGAAGGATAGTCGTGAGCAGATATGTTTTGATAAATACTAACTATGTTTAATGGTTGACTTTGTAATTGTGTCGTGGGTTACATTATTCAGTGTGTATTGGATCAAGGCCCTTAATAGTGTCTGAATTCTTGTTTATGATATACTGATTCACATCATAGGGAATAAGGGAGTAGAATGAGACTCAAGCAATGATGTGCGACTTGCTACTGCAAGAAAGTTGTAGGTTGATTTCGCAGCAATTGATTGAAATTTGTTGGATTTAGTTTTCTTTTTTTCAAAGTCAGTGAAAAATATATTGTAAATAAATAATGTTAATGGGTGCTAATTATTCACAGAATTAAAATACATAGAATTTTGCCTCTTAACGACTCGTGATTATTTATTCTATAATTATTTTATTCTATTGACTACTTTATTTTACACATATAAAAGTCCTGCTGGATCAACTTAAATAAAATGACTTTTCAGTTTTGCTTGTACTATTTAAACTGTTTATAAAATACGTTATTTTGAACTTTCTATAAAATAATCCCAAATAATAATGTATCATGGTTTCCACAAATTTATGAATATATAAAATACATTAAAATATATTCTATAAATTTTAAAATATATTTAAGAACAATTGTTATTTTTAACTTTCCCTGTCAGGTTTTTTTTTTAATTATTATTATTATTATTTTTTTTTTAAGTAGCCAGCATTTTTGATAATTTTCACAAAAATGTCACGGCCCCTGAATATTTTGTTGTAGGATAATCTGAACATGTAATATATCAAGACAAAGAACGCATCAAAGACTATAATGTGCATAAGAAATGCTTTTATCACTTGTTTTCTGCTCCTTTTTTGCCTGTGTTTTGATCTGGAGACTCTCCTATAGCACCCCACTACCATATAACAGTGAAAACTAGGAAAGCTGGAATTTTTTTAAAATTATTATTTATTTATTTATCAGGGACAATACACAAAATACATTAGTCTTACGAAGAGATGCTTTGTGCCAGAGTTAGCCGAAGCTAATTTTCATCCGCAGGTGCACACAATTTAAGACATTAAAACATTGCATTACAAAACAACTATCAATAGTAATATAAGCTACACATAATATTAGTCTATGAAGATCATATAAAAACAATCAGATGGGAGAATATATACTGGCGGGGAACGAGTTAATATTTCACAATATAACTGTATTTTTGCTCAAATAAACACAGCCTTGAGGACTTCTTTCAACAACATTAAAAAGTTGTACGGACCCGAAACTTTTGAACAGTCGTGTATTTATCTGTATTTGCATTTTTAGAAGGGGTCCCTCACAATGAGATCATCAAATTTAGGGGTCAGCGGCATTAAAAAGTTTAAAACCCGTGCACCACAATATACTGTAGATGATCTCAAAGCCACAGAACTCATAATGTCGATTTCATGGGGTCTTGACTTTTTATGTACAGTGGATCTTAAAAAAAGACCATGGCCCCATTTTTTTTTCTAAGAGAAGAAAAAGTGAACAGTAATAACTTGCCACTCCACGAACAAATACTCAATGTTTAAAGAGCAGAAAGATTACTCTTTGTTGCAGCTGCTCTCTCTCCTTGACTAAAAGTGATATTTCCGCTAAAGTGCTTCACTATTTTTATTATCTGCAGGGGCTTAATTGATTAATCTTCTTACAGTACATGTGTAAGTTAAACAGAGAACAACCCCTTCTCCATTTTGAAATAAGACTTGAGGATATGAAAGACTTAAAGGCCTTTATCGCACTTATCTGAGAACACAGAGAAATAGAAGAATGGTTGAACATCTCCAGCAATGTCAAATTTCATTATCAGTGTATTCAAACAGCACCGCCCCCCTGGAGGAGTCCACGCTCCACCAGCGAGCGGCACAGCGATTGCGTTTAATTAAAAGACAACGCTGATGAACTGAAGGGCTTTCAGCTGAGAACTTATTAAGGAACTGAAAGAGGGCCGGGATCGATTAGGCCAGGCGGCTGGATATCTGTCCAACTCCCTGGCGTACTATACCAGATTGCAGAGTTAGCTCTCCCAATGCTGCTCACATCAGTGAGAATTATATACTGTATGCATTTTTCAAGGCTATATTCACATATTTTGGATTGGTGATGTATTAGAGTTCAAAGCAGTTTTCACATTTGATTAACTCTGAACCCCACTGGTCTGTTTTCACATTATTTGGCACTTAACCATGATGTGTTTGCCTCATCAGTACAGGGGCCATATAGGCAAAACATTTGTGTGATACTGATATTCCAAATCGATTCGATTCTGATTCATAAGCTTATGATTTGGATATATGTCAAGAACGCGGTGAGGCACACTCTCCTCAAACATTGTGCATTTCACGCCAATCCTATTTAACGACACGCAGTTTTATACACTCTTAGAAGAAAAGGTTCTATATAGAACATTAAAAGGTTCTATCAGCACTACGTATTTGGAACCCCTAAAAGGTTCTATACACCTTCTATATAGAATCCTGGGGTTCCATACTTGGCCAATAGAACCTTTTACCAAAAAAAAATAGATCTATATAGAACCATTTTGGAGTTCCATATATGAAGCGGGGGAAGGGATGGAACCATTTTTGGTTCTAAATAGAAGAGTGAACGTCACCTCGAGATGGCTGCTCACTTAAATGATTTTGCTCGGCTAACATTCGAGGATGTCAGTGACCTAAATTATGTCATAATGGACTCACAGGATGAATTTTGAGTTTGTAGCTTTCAAATGATACCTAATTTATGATGATTACTAAAATATGTGATGTGAAAAAAAAGCAATAAAAAAAGAGTGCCAAGCATCCCGCTTTTTCTCAAAATTCCGTTCCTGAAAATCACATCCGATCAGCCAACTTCAGATAAACACAACTTTTGCTACCAACAAGCTATGAAAAAGAATAAAAACAAACGTGGAAAGGGCTTGATAGTTGATACCAGCTATCATTTGGTAAATTTCACCATGTGGTGGGCTGATGCGTAGCAGAGGTGTCTTGAATCAGTTGTATTCGCTATAGCAACCGCCTCGCTCTACATTGTCGCGCTTATTGCATGGTAAATCAATAATTTGACACAACATGTTGAATAACATAAGAAATAACATATAAGAATAACATATAAGAAATAACAGACCGCATTCTACATTAATTTAACCAAGCTATGAAATAAAGTGCATATATTTAACAAATTGTTATTTTTTTTTAGCTAACTAATAAGTTTATGGACATCGAATGGCTTTCCTGAGCTTGGCTGAGAATGGCTTTTTATTATTGACGTCCGTCGTTAAAACACTGATTGAGCAATTACATGAGACATGATACATTTCCATAATTTGTGCTGTATCTTTCAACCTTCTGATGTTCTTTCATATTTATTTTGTGCAATAGTTACACTCTTTTATATGTAGCATAGGGTTCTTTACTCAACTCCAAATGACATTTTATGCTAAAACAGGTTCTATAATGACAAGAAAGAAGGTTCTTTATAGGCTATTATTCATTCATAGATTACATTATTCTGCAATATTTTGTAGTTGTAATTAAATTATTGTTTATTAAGCTTAATATCACATTTTAATCATGATGATTTTTTGAGGAGAAAATCTGAAATGGCTCTCTTCGTGGTATATTGATTAACTACATAAAATGATATAAATAAATACATTTTCCAACCCCCATATCTTGAATTTTGATATAGAACATTTTAGGGGTTCCAAATACGTAGCGCTTTAGAACCTTTTAAGGTTCTATGTAGAACCTTTTCTTCTAAGAGTGTAGTAGTAAAGAGGAAGAGATGATAGAATGTGCGCTACAAATAATGTTTGGTCAAGTTTGTTCACACAGTAGAGACGGAAAGATTGATCTTTGGATATCGGATCATCAAAATTACGATTATTTGATATTGTCAGGCCTAATGAGTACCCCTGTTCTCCTTGTTTTCATGTCGACTTGCCTGAAACATTTGAGTTGAAATGACAATCTAAACTTTTTTTAAGTAAAACTCTCTCTAAAAGAGTCTCAATTTAAAACCCCATGCTGGCTGACCACACATATTGTTGACAGTGTGTCCCTATTGAGGGTCTGTATGGTTCCAGACCTGTGTTCTCTACACTCTCAGAAAAAAAGGTACAAAAGCTGTCACTGGGGCTGTACCTTTTTAAAAGGTAAATTTTGTCCATTTTAGGTGCTAATATGTACATTTTAGATGATAATATGTCCATTTCATGAGCTAATATGTCCATTTTAGGTGGTAATATGTCCATTTCATGAGCTAATATGTCCATTTTAGGTGGTAATATGTACATTTTAGGTGGTAATATGTCAATTTTAGGTGTTAATATGTACATTTTAGGTGCTAATATGTCCATTTCATGAGCTAATATGTCCATTTTAGGTGGTAATATGTCAATTTTAGGTGTTAATATGTACATTTTAGGTGATATGTCCATTTCATGAGCTAATATGTCCATTTTAGGTGTTAATATGTACATTTTAGGTGGTAATATGTCAATTTTAGGTGTTAATATGTACATTTTAGGTGATAATATGTCCATTTCATGAGCTAATATGTCCATTTTAGGTGGTAATATGTACATTTTAGGTGGTAATATGTCAATTTTAGGTGTTAATATGTACATTTTAGGTGATATGTCCATTTCATGAGCTAATATGTCCATTTTAGGTGGTAATATGTCCATTTTAGGTGGTAATATGTACATTTTAGGTGCTAATATGTCAATTTTAGGTGTTAATATGTACATTTTAGGTGATAATATGTCCATTTCATGAGCTAATATGTACATTTCAGGTGATAATATGTACATTTCATGAGCTAATATGTACATTTCAGGTGCTAATATGTACCACTATGCAGCCTT